CCAATATGGTACCTTGGGATTATCCTCATATAACTGGTTTGCCTAATTCAAACTGGCAGACACAATCTGAATTCAGTGAATCAGAAGATACATGGGATTTCATCAGTGAGATCATTTCAGTAGATTAACTCAGGCACTACCAGCCTCTGTCAGCTTCTTCAGAGAACTCTTGGGGCAAAGGAGGTGAGGACAGAGGCCAAACCAAACTGCTTGATTGCAAGGGCCTGTATCATCACACTGTATCACAGGCATCCATAAGGTAACTGGTTCTCTAGGGATGAAATATGAAATTCTGTCCCATCCTTAGAGCCTGGGTTTAACAGGTTCTCACAGGCAAACATGTCATTTGCAAAGCCTGCAGTACAACTTACAGTTCCTTTTATAAGAGCTATAAATGCCTCTTTTATACTGTAGACATAACTTCACTGTCTCAAAATCTTCATAACAATTGAATAACAAAATGCAAACATTATACTTTGTCAGCATAAACAAAACAACAATTATATTAAAGGTCCTATAGGCATTGCTCATTTGTATTAATAATTCCTGCTTTTCAATCAAGCTGTACAGGATGCCAAGTTAATTATTTTAAATACTTTTCAGTCTTGGCAATTCATTTGGACTTCAAATGGGGAAGTGAGGAGAGAAACAAAGAGCAGAGAAACGGAAAATCCTTCACCATCATATAATTGAAGCATATGACAGAAGAGGATTTAGGAGGAAAAAGCCCTAAGGAGATTTTGGGAGGTTTCACTAGTTTGTTCAATGGTGAACCATCCAAAAACGAAATGCCTGAAAAGCTGGAGGCTGAGCAGCTTAAGCTAGACTGTGCACACAGAAACATTGCAATGTTAACTGCTGGAAGAGGCATAAATTATGCATTTCTGATGTGTCTCTATAGGCCTTGTAACCTTCTTTCGACCCTTAGGGTGCTCATTATCTGCAGGAGCAATTAACAGACAGTATCTTGCAGCTAGCGTGATTTCTTACCTTTAGAGTGATTTCAAATCAAATAAAAAGGAGGCTAATAGAGCCAAGGAGGCCTGAGCTGTGAAGTTGCTTCTGAAGTATATTGGATAGAAATAATCAGTGAATTGAAGGTACATGGTGCCAGGAAGGCTGGATTATGTCTGGCTGGTTTTGATTGCTGAATCTTTTATGTTTTGGATAGTTATTGTTGTTCCTGTGAGAGATTATGCAAGTGACACAAATAATGGAAAATGCCTTCATTAATTCTGAAAGGAAAGGCCTAACTTCCCTTACTTCAGCAACTTCAAGCTGATTAATCAAAAGATCTGTTTTTTTAACTAGTCAGAATAAATTACAGACAACAGAGGTAAAAAAGCACACTTAAGACTGGTCTTAGAAAAAGAAGTTGTAGTGATCAGCAATCTGCTTAACTCCCCAAACCCATCAGAAATTTTTCAAAATTTAAGATATATGAATAGCTTAGGAAAAAATAAAGATCAAGTGCAAACGAGACAATTCTGAGATAAAATTTGTACAAAACTAATTATTTCAAGTCTTCAAAAATCTAAATTAAATGTTTCTTATCTGAAAGAGCAGATTGTTGAATACAAATCAGTCCTATATTATGATTTATCTAGAGCTGTCCTATTGCAATATGGAAATCCATGACAATGTTTAATATACAGAGCCTGGCACAGTTCTAGGTGATGTGATGCACCATCATTTTCTTTAGCAGTAACATACTTTATTTTCAGTTCCTTCCTAATGCATGGAAATCATTCCAAAGGCTACCATCTTATATGCACTGAGGTACATTATAAAAGCCACATAATTTTAAAAGATTACTGAATTTCTGGTTTGAAAAAACAAAACAGATTTTGAAAATATATACCAAAATGTTTGTTACTGCCATATCCCATTAACCCACAAAAGCCACCGTTGTCTAAGAGCAACATTTTACTGTTTCATCATGAGTGTATGCTGAGTCTGGAAATGGGATTTGTATATCTTCCTACACCATACAGACCTGCTGATTTCACTGAGGAACCAGGTGGAGTCAGGGATCTGGCTTCCACTACAAGACCGACATTTTAAGTTTCAGATTCTTGGGATTGAGGATATTTTTCTCCTGTAAACTACAACACCTTAAAAAATGCTTACAAGGAAAACCTTAGAGTCATTCCATTCACCTGAAGTTTATCATCACTCACATGTGGCCACGATTTCTCTACCAGGAGAAGCAAACCAGATAAGAATTGAGACTGGATTTGCAGCAACATGATTTTATTCTTATCAAAATTATTCTTTAAAAAAGCTTTTGAGCCCAAAAAGCATGTTCAATTTATGGTAAAAAAATTGAAATTTCAACTTACATGTAGAAACACCAGTATATTTATTAATTTCTAAAGTGTAAATGATAATGAGATTTCAGAAGCAGAAAATGGAATGGTTCTATTGAGCTTGTAAGGAGGGGATATATTTGGGCAGACTGGTCATCATTTAGCACAGCAAAGTCAATCATCTGACTCTGCATGTTGCTCTCCTTCACTATAGGAGTTAGAGAACATAGATCAGGAGGAGGGCAGCCAGAAAGTCACAGCTTTGGTCTTGGGGGATTTCAATTATTCAGGTATTGATTAGGATGACAGTTATACAAAAGGTGTAGAGAGGAACACATTAGTAAAGGTTGACCAGGGTTGCTTTCTTTAGCCATTGTTGAGGTGACTACATAATGAGAGCTTATTTAGAAACTTGTCCCAGCTGTTGTGAGCTCTGATAAATAGAGTTCAGGAAGCAGCAAGACCTTTCTGGGTCTGAAATCTTCCTTGTGGTTGGGAGACACAGCACTGTTTTCCTATCACAACTACCACCATTCCTTCCAGAAACTCCTTACCACCTCCCTTGTGACAAATGACCACATGATTTCCAAAGACCTTTTCCCCCTCTTACATTATGTCAGAACGTCTCTACCCTGACTAAACTCCTTAAAAAGTCATATTTACATCACAGGCATACTACTGACAGAGGCTTGCAGAGACAAGACTCTGTGTGTGTGTGTGTGTGTGTGTGTGTGTGTGTGTGTGTGTGTGTGTGTGTAAATACTAAGTCATCATCCTAGTACTAGAAGTTTTTTGAGACCAATGCTTTATATTCCTTCAAGTGAATAGGTGGAATGTCCATAATTAGGTGGAACATCCTCAAAAATTACCATAATGGCAGTTTAAATTACCTGTGTGGTATGGATGTGAAATCATCACATCATAGCCTTTGCCAAATAGGTCAATGGAAATGGAATCATAGTCAGTCAGAATAGGAGCCACCTCTACTAGTGAAGAGTTTACTCACTGTACACAGAGAGTGCTTCTTAGTCATCACAACAAACACTTTCCAGGAGTTTCATTAAACTGAGGGCTGCTTCAATGCCAAGGAGCCCAGGTCACGTGTTCAATTAATCCCAAACATTTTAAAGATATTTGAACAGTGTGTTAATTTAAAGCTTAATGCTACCATCAGATATTCAGCCTCAAAGCCTCACTAACAGGGTATGTTTATTTCTCCACTTTGGGGAAGTAGAGTATGAAAAGGCTGGTATTGCTTCTAACTCTGCTGTTTACTGAGCATCTCTGTGCCCCACTTTAGCCAAAGGTGATTCCTCTGCAATTAAAATGGAATTTCCTCCCTTTCCAGCCTGTCATTCATGCAGCTTCTCTGACTGAGTCTGTAATGAGCAGTTTGGGTCCAGCTAGCTCATTCATGCGCAGAATCAAGTTCCAGCTTTTCCCTGGTACATCAGGAATGCTGTTGTTTCTCAGCTGCTGCATGTGCATGTTCAGTCTGGGAGGGAATTTTCTACAGAGGCTAGAGCAAGTTCTTGGTAACAGGTCAGATCTGTTTGGGGGGATTTTGAAAGACGCAAAGCATTTGTGAGCCCAAGGATCTCCTAAAGCACATTGGCATAGCTCAGTGGTACAATTCAAAACTGAGCTGTGAGGTATGATTTCCCACTCCTTCAGGCCACACATCTTCTTGTGGGAGAGCAACCCAGGAGAGCCATCTCCTCGTGCCTGCTGGAAGAAAGAGCCCAGAAAAATCCTTCTCGGTGCGTCATTCACGCTGGAGAGAGGGAACAGGACTATTCTGCCGCCAGACCCTGTTTATCTTTCGCTGTCGAAAGACACGGAACAGCCTTCCTAGCTCGCTTAGGCTTCATTGAGACAAAGTTAGCGGCGGGGGTGCGGAGTGCCGAGCCGCGGTCCCGCCGCAGCCCCGCAGTGCCACCTAGTGCGAGCCCGGCCCCGCAGCCAGCGGCGCTCGGGCCGCCCCGCTCGGGGTCACGCTGTGCTGTGTCCCCAGGGCTCCCTAGCGACCCTCCCGCTGGACGGAACAGGGCTTTGCTCCGTCTCCTGGCAGCCTGGCGGTGCTAAGAAGTTGTTGCTGGAGCTGCGGCGCTGCTGATGGGCAGGGAGGAGAGAGAGGAGAGGATGGCTCCGGCAGCTCAAAGCACACGCTTTGGCTTTTAAGCACTACCTGAGAGAACTGCTGAGGAACGTTGGGAGACACTTGGAAGTTCAGACTTCGAAGTTCTTCATTTCTGGCGGCGTTCTTCAGGATGTCTGGGGATGGAATTGATGCCACTGGGCACATAACCTAGAGTGCTATAAAAGCTGAAAAAGTCCAAATGGGAATTCAGGTCAAACTTCATTCCTTGCATCTGTGAGAGTCAATAGACCACCAGAAAACAGCAATGCAGCTGGATGAAGGGGAAGCTGAAAGCAGCTGTAATCTGGGGAGGATGAGCAGGAGGATCTATCAAAGGAGTAGTCATGTAGGCTTGCAGTTGTTTGGATGCTTCTCTCATCCTGCTGGCTTCTTCAGCTTTCTTGCTGGGGCTGCTAATACATGGTGTGCATATAAAATTGTTCCAAACTGCTAAAAGAAAGCACAGCAAGGCACATTTGTGATATTGCTTGGCAAAAAAAATCCAACAAACTCCACACATAATAAGTAGTCAGTGCATCAAAATTCATACCTGCTGTTTAGGAACAGATATGCACACATTTATTACCAGTTTTAAATTCTTTATAATATCAAATGTAGCTGTATCAAATCCCAGAGGAGCTCCCCTGAAGAAAAAGGGAAATATATTGCATCAGTATTTCATTATACAGTCCACTGATCACAAAACACATCTACTCTAGGTTTACCCCAGAGTCCCTACCTAATACACTGCTCACTCAGAACAAATGCAAGCTCCAGAGTCTCGGGAAAGGGAGTTTAAACCAGTCTTTCACTGTGGCATCTTATTCCCTGAAGATAATTAGCACACTTCACAAAGCTCTGATTAAAGTTGTCTTCTTTCTTCTTCTGTTAATCTTATCCTGTTGTCTAATGGTCTGAACACTGCAAAAATGAAAATGCATTCATTAAGTTAATGGTTTTGTGGACTGAGGTACGGCATATCTCCTGTATTTGCTGGCTTTCCTAAGAGCTACCTCTGCAACCAGGTGTTGTCTACTACAATCACATTTTAGAATATAGGAACCTTCAGTTTTGTTATAACAAGCTGAGAATAAATGGTCTAGGAGCACACTGGCAGGGCATTCCCTCATCCCCAGAGGTGCCATCTGGCATGTTTGAACCTCTTCATGTTCCCATTATGATGTTAGTATGGGGAAGAGGAAATGGGGGTGCAAGAGCCAAGCAAGACAACTTATTTTTAAAATGGCAATTTTATACGTCAAGGCACTAGCTCCTGAAATGAGTATGGTTTTATGCTTCCAAATATTGACAGATTTAGTCAGTTAAGAGATCATCATGTCTACGGTAATGGACATCTGGAGTGACATAAAGTTTGTTCTCTTCATACTGCACAAAGAAGGTATGAAATATGATTAAACCAGAAGAGTATTTTTAAATACCCACTTTACACAGGCATGAAACACTTCAAGAGGCATAAAGCAATGAGAAATCAAACTCCTAGTGATGGTGAGAGCAGTGATATGCTGGAACATGACACTGTTCAGCCACAAAATGGTTACAGTAAATGCAAATTGTTCACTTTAACATTCAAGTTGCCTGCTCTTGCCCCTGGTTGCATAACAAACTCAGACTCAAATACTGATCGCTTTCTACACTGAAACAGTGTTCAGCTAAATGATTACTATTGTTCAGACTTTATCAGGAAATGTAGAGAGGTTTATGTTGTTAAATCAAAATTCTAGTTTCTTGTTTTGAACTATATGAATTCAGAGCAGAGCATTTGGGTAAAATAAGTTAATACACTAAAGCATCCTGTTTTCTTCTCACAAATGGTCTGCTAGAACTACAATTTCAACAGTGTCTCTTTCATGACGTCTTGTCTTTTGAAGTGAAATTCAAAGTGTACCTTTGAGAACATAAAGAGGAAAAATTGGAATCAGAGGGTATACCATAAGAGTTTTTATAGAAGAGTAACAGAAAGTTGAAGAAGTTTTAAGTAAGCAGGATTCTGCCAAGGCACATACAGAAATTACTGTAAGAATTCCTTTCCCTGTCTTTCATTAGTATTTTGCTAATATTTATAACTACTTGTCAAACTTGCCAAATTGGGCTATGTGCCATCCCTACATATACTAAAAGCAGTAACTCATAGTGAATTAAAACATGTGGAGGTCAAAGCAGAAACATTAAAAAAATGTAAAGGGAAGATAAACATTCCATTTGCCACCACTGAATATAATAAATTTTCATAGGTTGTCGTCTCCTTACCTATCCATGAAGATGAGGTGGATGGAAGCACAAAAAGAGGAGAACAAAAGAGAGGAAAATTTTGTTATGATCCAGGTATTTTATTGAAGTTCTTGCTGTAAGTGAAAGAGACTAGAGACACTACAAGAGAGCAACAAGAAGATGTGGGCTGATGGACAATGAGGAGCTGTATTCTGGGGAAAGCAGAGGCAGAGAGACAGTAGATGAGATAAGTGTGATGACAGTTATGAGGAGGCTGTGACAGGTTTTGTCCTCAACAGGATGGTAAATTCATTGGAATAGGGAGCAGAATATTTGGGGTTTGCAGTTAGTATAAATAATAATGACAGGGATTTTCTTTAAAATGGCTCCAAGTGGCTGTCTGCTCTCTTTTCTGGTGGCTAGTGCTGGCTAGCACAGTAGAACTCTTGACCATAGCTTACTAGAATCTGGAAAAAGGAACAAAAGTCAAGAGCCTCTTAGAAATTCAACACTGCAAGAGCTGAAGAGCTCAGTGCAAGATCAAGTGCCCTGGAGTACCTCCCTCTGTGGCATGAGTAGTGGCACAAGGGATCCTTTCCCACCTTTATATTTATTTATTCAACCACAGCAGCCTTAGATTTTCCTCTAGCACACCTTGGTAACACAAACCACTTTTGCTTTTGTAAGCAAAGCTTAAGAAATCACCCCAACCCAGACACCTGGGAACTAGAAGCTGTTTGTTTCTACATCACAGATCTGGAGGTAGCTCTGTAATATTTACTTAACTGGCAGCATGGCTTTGAAACAAGCATTCACTCTTCTCTTTGCATTCCTCAATTTCTCTTTGTCCTATTTGTGTGAGTGTCACAGTGTAAGGGAGCCCCAAGTCTGACAGGAGGCATTCTTCTGCATCTTCTTTGTGTGAAGCCCTGCTGCCCTGCATTCAGGAGGGCAGGAAATGCCCTGGGTCATGTCAGCAACCTAAAACAGTGATGGGGACAATCTGCCCTGATCACAACAGGTACACTCTACCTCCTTTCACTGGGCTGCCTATTATAATTGTAAAGGATGGTGCTGTTAGTATGGAAAAGACAAGCTGGGAGCTACTTCTGTGCATTAAACACAGGCAGAACAGGGGTGTATTGCTGATGGTGTGGGGGGCTGAAATGCTAGCTGACCAGACGAGCTCAAAAAAGACAAAAAGAACAGGGTGACCAGGTTGTAATGTGAAACTCAAAGTGTTGAGAAGTTGCCAGTTATGCTCAGGGAAGAGAAAAACAGGATCAGAAACAAGAACGTGTCAGCAGCGGAATCATTCATGTGGAGGTTCAGAAATTTATCTACTGGGATAAAGTCAGAAAATGAGATTGCTAATTTGGCTAAAGCATCAGCAAATTATGTTTTGAGAGCCAGTGTCTGGCAGGTATATATGAACAGAAAGCAACAGCAAGAATTATTCGTGGCTAGAAATTAAGAGAGACGTGGGACAGAAACATTGAAGATTAGTTTTAAGCTGTCATGGTGACAGCAAATGACAGAAAGAATTTAGGAAGAAAACCCCAAGGAGAATTTTGAAGGCTTTGTGCAACATAGTGGCAAGCCTTCCAAGCTGAGAGAGGTCTATCAGAGGAAGACTGTGCAGAGAGAAAGATCTGTTTAGTACAACATCAAGTAGAACATCTGCTCAGCTGAAGCTGACCCAGCTCTGTTGGGACCAGACACCACAATACAAAGAGAATCAAAATTGCATCTGAACACTGACAGGAGGCTGAAGAACTTCTGGCCAAAGAGCTTCATTTCATTCATTGAATCCAGGCACAAACCAGCTACAATGAACCACTGGATCTACCATCTGCAAGGTAGTACATGATCCCTTACTGCTGCCAGTCATGTAGAGAGGGTTAAAATGCCTCCTGAGATATGGAAAGAAATGACTGAACACAAGTCAGGCCAAGAGAGGGGTCCTGCCATTTCTAGTAGTGCAATATTATGTTACAGTACACTGTCCAGGAGAGGGGAAAAGGGTCCAGAACCAAGCAGAGGAACATCCACCACAGACACACAAACCTGCATAAATCCCTTATGGAGTTTGCAAATCCATGTTTGCAGATGTGTGTGCCTTGGATAGCAAAGCAAAATGAAAAGGAAGGGTCCAAAATTTCCTCCCACAATGGTTAGGAGGAGAAACAAACAGCAAATCATAACATCACAGATTAGATTAAGGCGGAAGAAACCTCTGGTGGTAATTTAGTCAAACCCTCTTACTCAAAGCAGGGTCATCATTGACAGACCTGGACCATTTTCAGAGAGTTTTTGGGTATCTCCCAGTATGGAGACCACAGCCTCTGTGTACAACCTGTTCCAATGTTCCATGGCCCTCACAGTAAAAAAAAAAAAAAAGTGTTTGTTATTAGAGGGAACATCCGTGTTTTAGTTTCTGCTCATTGACTTTTGTCCTGAAGAGTCTGATTCCATTTTTTTTTTACAGTCTCCCCTCAGTTACTTACATACATTAATAAGATTTCCCACCAAGCCTTCTATTTATTAAAATCCTTTATGCAGAAAACCTATAAGATTGCCATAGGTCTGCATAAACTCTTAATAAAAGATGTAGAGTGTGGAAAAAGGAAAGAACGTTTGGCTGAACAAGGAAGAAGAAATCTTTGCCAAGACAGCCCTTGTTCCTGTACCTTTGAGAAGGATAGGAGGAGGTAGGCAGCTCCTTCTACAAGAGAGGAAGCTTGTCTGGTTTCTGGGATCTTTGCAAACCACACTTCAGTAATACTTCCCTCTCTGTTCAAAAACAGCATGTTCAAGCTCCTGCCCAAAGGAACCTGGGAGACAGAGGGTGGATTTACTTGCACTGTGGGCAGAGAGCAGCAGGACTGCTGAATCAGTGATGGATGAGCAGGTGTCCAGGTGCCCAGTGCCGCCATCAGCACTTCACATGTTAGGGGGGAGAGCTTCTTTGTGGAAAGGCACACCCAAAAGAAAGTGTTGCTTTAAAACAAATGTCCATGCAGGTAACCATGGCAAATTAATTGAATTGCTAATTTTAGAAAAAGGAAGCTAATTTTTGAAAAAAGGAAGCTTCTGAAGACTATTTACTGTTAAAATTACTACAATATAATGTATGGAAATCTGTGGCATTTCTTTACATTTTTTCCATGCAATTTTTCCTGAATTGAAAAATTGGTTGTGTTTTCCTATGCCAGTACAGCTTGGTTAAGAACAAAATATTAGGTCATAAAATTCTTTCCTTGAAGTAATAGAGAAATTTAATTTCCTTTTCTAAAGGCTTTTAGCTTTCTTTATCCACTCTCTGGGACATGACTTGCAGGTGATGCCTGTGTTTCCTACCACACCATGGAGATGCAGCAACCCAGCCTGGTTCCAGAAGTCATCACCAAAACAGGACTGCAGAAGGAGAAGATAATATTAGTAGAATTGTTGTAAATTAAGGACATAATTGAGCAAAAGTATATTACATACAAACTTAATTTACAAAGATTATTAAAAGACAATGACACTCTGCCCACTCCAATAAATACGTCAATAAATAAGTCTGAGAAGTAAAATCTTCAGTTGAGGAAGGACATTCATTTTCTCTCTTTTATGCCTGAGTCTTTATAGCAAGTAGGAACTGGAGTGAAAATTTGTCTCCAACTTTAGATATTTGAGGGTTTTTTGTCTCTGATGAAAAAAAATCCTTCAGATTCTTCACGGTAATATTTTTCTATGCAATAGAAATAAGCTGGCTATGCTGATTAGTGTTACAGTCATAAAGGTAAAAGATTGGTTAGGAAATACAGTTTTTCTGCAGTTTTCTGCACATTTAAACTTTGGCATATAATTGAAGACAACTTTGGTTAAATATACATTTTAATGTTAAAATTTACAATCAAGCTGGCAATTAAATAATCCCTCTCTTTTTCCTTTTAATTAACAAAATCATATTTTAAATAGATATCTCTTGTGTTTCTATGCACGACAGAAAAATATGCATAACATTCTGTACACTTTTGTAAAAGTTTTACAAGGTTGGGGTAAAATCCTGCTGTGGTGGGTTGACCCTGGCCAGCAGCCAAGTACCTACACAACCATTTACTCACTCCTCTTCCCTCCTCCAGGAGTACAGGGAAGAGAACAGGAGGAGTAAACCCAAGAAAACTCCTGACAGTTGAGATAAAGACAGCTTAATAAGTGAAGCAAAGGAGAAAAATCTATACTGCTGCTGCAAATCACTCACCAGCTTCCAAAAGCAAAGTGATGCCCAGCCAGTCTCTGAGCAACGGCCACCTAGGAAACCAAAAATCCCTTCAGATCCCCATACTGTGAACTGTCCCCCTGTTCTGGTGACATCTGTGTTGGGTAGCTCTATGCTAGAGGTAAAACATGGGAAAACAGCAAAAGGCAGGTCCATATTGATACACGTAGGGGCTGTGCTGGAGCCCTGGCAAACTGACACCACGTTTCTGTGGGGAGCAGTGACACTGAAGGCACATTTAATCTCTGCACAGGATTAAAAAGGGGGGACAAGGTGCAGTGGTGCTAGAAGCCAGGAGAGGGAGTCTGAGCCCAGGAGAAGGAAAGAACGACGGGAAGAATCCTCCTCACCTTCTTCCTTGGTGGTGGGACACATGATGGGGGCAGCAGAAAAGCCAGTCAGGTCATTCCCCCAGACGGTGTGCCTGTGTGTCACCTTCCACCCTTACCCAACAGCCAGTGTGGCGGCCTCTCACCTAACACCAAAACCATCTGATTTTCAGTGCTCTCATCAGCCACACAACAGTAAGTGTGTTTTACACTTGGGCTTTTAATTACTGTGACCCTTTTGCTTGTTAACATTGTGCTGTATTGAAGTGCATGCATATCTACGGAAATTTTAAGTCTTTAAATAGTTTGTGTATGTATCGATATATACATACACACGTGATTAATTGTACCAGTGACTAAATAAATCTATTTTTATCCAGTCCTGTGATTCAACAGACGTGCACCCTCAGTTTCCTGCTGACATGCACAGATGTAATCAAGATGAGAGCAACTCTTTGCCCACCTTTATAAAGGAGAAACAGTGCAGGTTGTGGATGCGTGTAATTTCAGCACTGCATTTCTTTAATTCTCTGTACTATAGCTGTGAAATAATGCCTAAACAGTTCATGAATTGAAAATAGTATGCATAGTGTGGTAACTTTTGGAAAATCAGACCAAGACCAAGGAACAGCAATTTGTTCTTTTGTTTTGTATTTGTCTCAAACCCAAATTATCTCAGTGGGGGCATTTTTATGTGTTCAAAGTCATTTCAGGCCAGAGCCTGCTTTTGAAAATTCTAATTTGGTTTTCAAAACAGGTATCATCCTTGTGTCAAATTTATTTCAAGACTTGAAATTTTCATGCACTGATCTTTGGAACCACTTTATCTTCTTTAGTTGTCCTACCATTCTCCTTCTTGAACCCTCAGTGATAGTTATCGTTTTCTTGACGTCAACATGTGGTCCTTTTGAAACTATGAGCAGTTTAAAAATCAATTTTACTGGTTCCTGGGCACCAGTAAAAGCAAAGACGAAACAGTTTGAGACCACCCTGAGAAATACCTACAACTGGTTTCTAATCATCTTTATCTGGTCTTGCCCCTCACAAGGCAGCCATCACCTGAGCGCTACATGTTTTTTTCCTAAATACTGTTGTAGATGATGGGTTTGACCTCACTTTGGTCACCCTTGTGATGATGATGTGGGTTTGTTGAGGTTGGTGAGGTTTGTGGGTTTGTGAGGAGCAATCACTTGTCTACAAGCAGTGGTGGGAGGGAGCTCAGCACAGGGTACCTGCTGGAGGCCAGCTAGGGCAGGCCCCTGTTCCTGAGTAGGCTGGAAGGATCTGCTCTAAACCTGGCTGGAATGCTTTAGCAATGTGGTTAATGCATAAAATCATGCTGCTTCATTCTGGGGGACTACGACTCATGGTATTTAATACCACATTTCACATTTATTCTTACTGAATGGCCCCAATCAAAACTAGTTTTATTCCCAGCAGATTGGGAAATGAGGTACCAAGGTGCAGAACAGCTGACCTTTCAGACATGCCCACCTCTTCTAAACACAGATAATCACTCCCAGTTGAAGACTGGGTGCACAGAAATGGGTTGGGTTGGTGCTGGCCTTTGCAGAAATCAGGTGAGGTCAGCGTGAGGTAAAGAAATGTTTTGTATCCCTTCACATGTGATAGTTTCACTCATTTCTTCTCTATGTCCCTCAAGCTGATGAGGAATGTATTGCATTTACTTGGTTGTCAGCCTTGGAGCACTGCCTCACTACTAGATTTCCTAAGGTTTCTATGAATTTGTTGGTCTTTTGCTCTTCAGAAAGGACAAATTTTCCGTTCCACACCTTCCCCTCACACAGCAGACAAAAATAAATGAACTTCCTGTGTTTTGGTAGCATTTGACACCCACTGCAGGGTTAAGTTGGGTCATCTTTGAAAAGTAGTGACAGCAAAGTTCCTAGGAGACTGATGTACTTAGGATTTTTTTAATGTCATTTTTATTTAATCTCTGTTTCCTGTCTACCATGTCCTGCAGGGCAAACCTCAAAAAAACACAAGCTTGTCATTTGCCCAGAAGACCCATTCTCAGATGAAAACACAGATTAAATGTTTTGGAATTATGATGAATTGTGGAGCTGAGGGCAGACAAGTGTGCACATAATGTTTTGATTATTTTTTTCCTCTTTAAATTAAAGCTTGATGAGAACCAATGTCAGTGTCCTCGCCCTTGCAAGAAGAAAGACAGTACTTTACCCAGAAGAGTGAAGGTAGTCAGTGCCTCCAAATGGGAAAAGTTAAGACACAGAGTATGTATGTGAGAAGTACCAGACCTAAGGCAAAAGCACATTGTGCCCACCCACTCTCTGAACACAGATAAAGATATGATTCTTCACCTGTGCTACTTTATTGAAAGGATCTCAGAAACTTTCATAGGAAGTCAGGCTAAACTGGCTATACCTTCCAAAATTGACTGAGAGAAAGTGAGAAAAGTATATCCACAGGAAAAAAAAAAAAAAAAGAAGAAAAAAAAAAGGAAGATATGGTTACATGCATATTTCTCCACTAAATTAAGTTTTCACATTTGTTTTTTATTGATTGAGAAAACTTTACAATTTGCGAGATTTTTAGCTGGTATTTATTCATACCATAATGTAATGGTATCTGGTTCTCTGAATATGTGTTATCTATGCCTAATCTCTTAATGTAGTAAGAAAAATTCTGCAAAGTAGATTTGAATCATCTTTTAATACAAATACCTTAGTTCCAGCTTGATACAGAAGTATCTACACATGATAATCTGTTTCACTTGAAAATACATTGTCTAAATACATTTGCTTAGCCTTGGGGAGAATGAAGAAAAGTAAATCTTTGATTCCTTTCTTTATTACTAATGTTCCAGCTGCTCTGTTAAGCTGGGGAAAAAAATCAAGTGAGAAATGCTTAAAGTCCCAAATATAGCATCTTTAAAAGAAGTTATGACAGTTTAAATTAATTAAATGAACAAATAATAGCTGTTCCTGTGGTGGTGTACATGGTAAAATCTGTGTATGTGTTTCAGAATGAACTTTGAAGGTGTTTTGCAAAAGCCAGGCAAAAAAAAAAGGTGTCATAAAGCTTTTTGATGCTTCCCTTTCCATATTATCATGTAATACAGTATTTTGAGTGTACTTTGTTATGGATTTACTTTAGGAGACACAGTGAACTATACAAAAAAATTTCCACTTTGTTATACTAAGCATAAGTTTGTCTCCAGAAAGTTTACAATGCAGATCAGGCTGAACTTTGTGTGGCCTGGTATGACTGTTGATATTAATCTTTCCTTTCCACATTTTGGTTTTTCTGCCACAACTTGGAAATTGCAGATATAATAACACACAAAGGTGTTCCCTTTCATTCTGTTTTTTCTCTCTTGCTCTTCCTTTCCCAAGATCTCTTTTTCTGCTCATACAAAGCTAAATTACAAGATGGTATCCGATGGATATCAGCATCTTTCACAGAGACTCCATTCCAATTGCAGATGCTGCCTGCCAGGGCAAAGCTGACATTCATGTTTTTGCACAGACAGGAACAGTTTTACGTTAAGGAATAACTGAATTAATAACTGGTAATATGGTAAGTTGTAATTGGTGGTTCACATGCAGGTAGAAAACGAGGTTCTCTGAGCCTGTAACCTTCTTATTTAGCAGAACAGGATGACTGAAGATAAGCTTAGAAAGACATAGGACATGCTGCCCTTAATATGCAGGTTTTCTTTGTGATTTCATCAGAGATTTAACATGTGATCCTGAGCAAGCCATTCAATTTCAGTTCATCTCTTTCTTCGTCTGAGAAGGTGAGGATGAAGCATGCCTGCCTTATAATGCAATGGGAAAGGAACACTGGTAATTTATATATCAAGCTTCATGGGAGAGTCTGCTAGAATTGAGGTTTGATATTTATTTTCTTCTTAAATCAGGCATTTTATCCATCTCTTGAAATACAATGCACACAAGCACAACAAACCAATTATTTCCTAATATATCCAAGATAGTTATATGCACGTGTAGTACAGCACGAGTGTGATACCGAGATCAGCTTCATTGATCAGCTTGTCTAATTTCATATAATCAGGGATGCATAATCCAGATCTCTCCACACCCTTATTACCAGTTCTAGCCCTCTAAAAGCTTCTAAAACATTTAACTCTTCTCACTGTAGAGCCAGCTATGAAATGTAAGCAACACCATAGCAAACACTCTGTACAGAGTAATTTTTGCATGGGATAAACATTTCAAGCAGTGATATCTTTGCATACTCACAGATATAAATAAAAAAAATATAGATTGTATATATGGAAAGAGATGAACACAATCTCTAGCAATGAATTTCCTTGTGTTGCTTATCCAGTGGTTATTAATGAAAAGGGTGTAATACCATGGTATTTCTCGTTCATGTGTTTTTAGGGGTTGAAAGTATTGTGTTTCATTTGCTGACATAATACACTGCATGATCCTGGAGACAAATAACACACTTCCATATCTGTTTCATCCATAGCAGAGCCAGTTCAAGCATTCCCTGACTTTCATGTCAATCACAGAGTCACTGGGGTTGGAAGTGGCCTCTGCTCAAAACAAATGCAACTATATGGTCACACCAGGCTGCTGAAGGCTTTATCCAGTCAGATATTGAACATTTCTGAAGGTGGGGACTGTAAAACCACCACCCTGGGCAGCCTGTGTCCTCTTGG